TCCTCCTCCTCCTCCTCCTCTTCTTCTTCCTCTTCTTCTTCTTCCTCTTCTCCTTCTTCTTCTCCTTCTTCTTCTTCTTCCTCTTCTTCTTCCTCTTCTTCTTCTTCCTCTTCTTCTCCTTCTCCTTCTCCTTCTTCTTCTTCTTCTTGTGTCTCCAACCTCCCATGGTGGCCGTTTTGTGCTCAGCACCACTTCCTGTGGCTGACATTTTGCGGTTGTGCTCATCACTCTGTGTCAGAATTCCAGAGGTGCCCACAGGCTCAAAAGCATTGGGGAACTCTTGACATAAGGGCTGTTGCCAAGCAGTGAGTTCTGTCACTGTAAATATCTGACTTAACAGCAGGTTTCTCTACCTTTAGTAGCAGTGTGATGCTCCCTAGGAGGGTTTTCTTTCTTAAGTGAGCTGCAGTGGTGGGAGGGGTCCCTCCGCTGACCTGCCACAGACTATGGGATGCAAGACTGGCATCGCCCCTCGACAACAGGCAGTTCTGGTTCTGTCTAGAACAGAGGACCAGGGGATCCACTTCTCCTGGCAAGTGTGGTTTTGAGAAATTTGCCACAGAGAAATATACCATGAAATAGTGAGGAGTCACATGCCAGGAAGCCTCCCCCTGTATGAAAGAAGAAGAAGAGGAGTCTTGTGGCCCTTTGAAGACTAACACGTTTATTCAGGCATGAGTTTGTTTCACCAGATGCCCGTGTTATTCTTTAAGCTTCCACAAGCCTCGTTGCTGTTTTTGTGTAACAGGCCCCTCTAGATTGACTGCTGTGTACCTTTTGGATATCTTGGAAATGTCAGTATTTTAGCATGAAGCCAGGGCTGTGTGGTATAGACGAGGGCAAATAGATACCTTTTGTTTTCTCTTTTATGTGCTGAAGGGGAGATTCTCCAAGTTAAACTGGAATTAAGGAGGAGTGAACTGCTACACAGTGAATTTTTGGACAACTGTCATATAGCAAAATATTCTGATTCAAAATTATTAAACTTTGTGCTTCCTTTGGGAATTACCAAGAGATGCTGCAATAAAACAATCGCTGAAGTTACTAGACACCACAATGAAATCCCTAGGTACCACAGTGACCTGGTGCCATTTCTCATGTGCGCATAGAGTTTTTGCTTCCCATTGGAAGTCACTCTGCTAGGTTCTGCTGGAACATAATTCCAAACAGGTATACTTTGTATCGTAGCTGTGGACAGATGGCCATCATACTAATTTATGAATATCCTCTCTAAATTAGCTTACCCTCTCTTTAACAGTCTGTATTTCTAAATATCATCTTTCCCACGTCTGTTTAACATTTCTTTTGCACATGCTTGCATTTCCTTCATGCTCTGAAGAGAGCTAAATGGTTCCTGATTTCGCAGAAGGTGTATTAATAAACTAGATACAGCCAAAGATGACAAGAGCAGTTTCTGTTAATTTTGAAACTGTTGCGCATAAAGAGGAGTCGAAGGAAGGTGCTGGCATGACGTGTGACATAGCCTCATCACTTACTTTCAGTCCAATCTACTCGTTCTCCTGAAGGGGAAATAATTAGGCTCTCTAAACACAGATGAAGCAAACTTTTCATGTGGCTGAGTTGCCCAAAGGAAGGCAAGGGCACCTAATTAATGCTGCATGCATGGCACTCTTTTGGGTATGAAGTTGTTTCTTTTCTTTTTTTTAAGAACCAACTCAACCATACTTGTGTCACCAACCCGCCTGCTAATTAAACTCTTGCTCACTCCTGGTTCTACAATTCTTGAGTGGCTGGAGCCTCCTGCAGAAGCACTGCAATTAACATTTTAAAAGAGGAGGAAGAAACCCAATGAATTGTACATTTTGGCGTGACATTCCAGTGGCAAGCACTTATTTTCTTTGATATGCTATCCGTGTTATTTTTAACCACCATGCTCGGTGCAGATTATTACAGAGCACATTGGATAATATAGGCAGTAAAATAATAATTAAAAAAAAGATGTTTAAAGGAAAGACTACAGAAGGACGGTGGGCTGATAACATTCTGCATTAATATAAGCATTACTGAGGGCAGCAGAATGTGTTGGGCTGAAAAGATTCTGAAGAAAGGGCAAGGCCTGGCTTTTTGCTTGGTTGGGTTTTGATCCAAATGTAAGTGGGAATGAATGTCCTGTTTTACTAATATTGCCTTGAAATAGGAAAACAAATATTCGAGAAGACCATAAAAGAGTTAATAAAGGAAACCATCATTATTAATCATTACCCAGAGGTTCGTGGGGGAAGACCCTCTTCTGACCCACCATGTAAGCAAATCCAGAGGGGGCTGGGTTGGGTTCGTGAGGTGCAGCCCCGCGTCTCACACAGAAGCTAACCCAGACGGTGGGATTTGGGGCAGATGGTGGCATCTTCTGTTTTCCGTGCCACGTGTAGCAAACGATGGCACTATCCTGATACCATTCCTTAACGGGCACCCCTTTTCTTCCTCACAGCTTGGCTTTGCACCCCAGGAAAGACATCGTCGTCACAGGCAGCGATGACCGTCTGTGGAAAATGTGGGCCTTCCCCAATGGCAACATCATCATGAAAGGTGAAGGCCACACGGACTGGCTCTCCGGGTGCTGCTTCCATCCCAGGTAAGCCCAGACCGCCCCGGAGCTGGTGCTCATCCCTTCTGGGGACAGGCACGTTTGCTCCGCCTCTTCTTGGTGGCCGGCTCCCTGCCGCTGAAGCCCTCTGCTCTCTGCTGGGTTTCCAGACATGGAGATAAACGTTCCTTTGGCTTTTGCTGTGTTGACTTAAGATTGGTTGCTTTCAGTGTTTCGTGTATTGCAAACTTTAGCCCACATGCTTGTGCATCTAACCAAGTATAATTAGCATTTCAGATCTTGCCATATTCTGTGTCTGCGTTCATCACAGGGACAAGCTAGATGCATTATAAATATTTTTAAAAGATTGTAGGCTGTTTCTTGTTGCAGTGTTTATTTGTCCCTTTGTGACAAATTGGATCCATGCCCAGCCTACCTAGAATATCACTCCCCCTTGCTCCATCACTATGTCACAATTTTGGGGGGGAGGCACCTATTAGGAAGCAGTCATTTAGGACACTGAAATGGCCCAACAATTAAATACGCTTAATTATCATTGGCCCCGTTCACACGGAGGATTTGCCGCACTAAAGGCACGAATGTCAGGCGGATTTTTCCCCACAGCTTAGAGGGAGCATTGCCCAGCCTACCTAGAATATTACTCCCCCTTGCTCCATCACTATGTCACAATTTGGGGGGGGAGGCACCTATTAGAAAGCAGTCATTTAGGACACTGAAATAGCCCAACAATAAATGTGCTTAATTATCATTGGCCCCGTTCACATGGAGGATTTGCCGCACTAAAGGCACGAATGTCAGGTGGATTTTTGGGGTGCGATCACACCGCAACATCTGGGAAGTGTAGTGCACCCGTGGTGTCCCGCCGAACTTGCGCAGTAAAAAACTACCTCAGAAAGTGCACTAGTATCTGGAAAACGTGGGGCAGGGGCGGGTGTCTGATTGCGAGAGCGCTAGTATTCCGTGGCATCCGGCGCCTGTCCATGTCTCGTTGCAAACCGGATGTTTTTCATAAGCGCATGCGCACAAACACATAACTGACAGCAGTGCTACTCCGCAGAACTGCGTATGTGCACAAACTCGAAACATTTGCCATGCCGCTTTTTCAGTCATACAAATAACTTAATTTTACTTTTTAAGAAGAAGGCGTTTTCATAAGGAACCCAGACAAAGGCAGGACCGTAGCCACAGTGTGCAAAAAAGGGGCGGTGCCCCATCAATCATTTGCCATGCCCCTCCAATCAGCATGAGGGGCTGGTGTGAAATCCGTGACACATCTTTCAGGTGTACATTTTCTATGTAAAAAAGGAAGGAGTTGAGGTAAAAAGTGTGAATCCTGTCACAAATCTTCCAAGGGTGGATTCTCTATGCAATTGGCTAGAACAGAATTAGCAGTTAGCAGGGCTGATTTTAAAAGCCTGCAGGGGTGGGGGGAGTGAAGCAGAGAGAGAAAGAGTAAGGAATGAAGGGATTAAAAAGGTGTTGGAGCAGACTCAGAAGAAAGTCAAGAAAAGACAGAGAGAACAGGACAGTGTTTCACAACAGTCCGGTAGAATTCTTATTGCTGGGGTAATTGGTTTTTAAATTAAAAATTAAAAAA